TACAAAATATAGACATACAAGACACGATACTAAATACCGATAAAAGAGAAGAAGTCTTAGAGAATAAAAGAAAAGAAATAGAAGAAACAAGTGAAAGAAAAGAAGGAAGACAGTATATGGCTAATATAGAAAATCGGCACAAAGAAACCAACAAAAGACGATATATGTAAAAAAGAAACATACAAATTAAAGGAACAGGAAAACAAAAAGAAGCAATAAACAATATAGAGCCACAAGATCATAGAAGACAAGCCGGCGAAGTTTTTCAAAACTTGGAGCGAAGATATCTCAACTACCTATCTAAAATTGATGAAATTTTTTTTTATTCCGATTCTATATGCCCATATAATTAAAATATATATTTTTTATTTAGATAGGCGGTTGTCAAGATATTTTCGCTTAAAGTTTAGAAAAAAGATAACTATCTAAAAAGCTGCAAAGTTTTCCAAACTTTGAGAGAAGATACCTCGACAACTACCTATCTAAAATTGATAAAAATTTTTTTATTTCGATTCTAGATGAATATATAACGATAACAAATTTTTTACAATTTTAGATGGTTGTCGAGATATCTTCTAAAAGCTTATAATATCAACCCATTTGGATCGCTTATATTCATGTTGATAGTGATATTAGTGAGGGATAATAGTAATGTTGATATATATGAGGGAATTTTGATATAAATTTATAAAAATTTGTCTCGTGGTAATTTGAAATAATTAATGTCGTGTCTAAAGCTGGAAATGGAAATTTTAAATAGTTTACAGCTGGTTTCAGGAAAATCTGGCAAAAAATTGACCGACCGAATATTTGCCGATTCGGCCAGATTTTTCCTATGAAAATTTAAAATTTTTTGGGGTGTATTTTTTTTAGCTTTTTAATAGTTAGCTTAGAATTTAGGGTTAGTTTTGATAATGAAAATGTATCGGTATTACGTAGTGGATTTTGGTAGGGTTTATATTTTCAAATCGAGGTCCCTAATTTCCAGCTTGCGACAATTAATCAGAATCAGAATGCAACTGTTCAAGTAGAATCTAATTTTAGCGACAAAATTTGTCGCCACTAGGGTACTACGAAATAACGCCCTCGAGACACAATTTAAAGAGTAATTTAGTCAACTTTCGTTCTCCTCAGTCCAATTGATTATTAGCTCTCTTTAAATTATGTGCCTCAAAATAACATCCCCAGATGATAAATAATGTGCCGATTCTAATGCAAAAACAGGGCTGTCTAGTCTAAATTTTTTATCTTTGATACTGATTTTTTTGAGCCAATTAGAATTTGACATATATCAGCCACTCATCATTCAGGTGCTGTCACGTATTACGTAGTTCTCGGTCTCGAGATTTCATGTTTCATTCTTCAAGTCTAAAGAAATTAAATGTCTGATTCAAATTCAAAGGTTTTTTAATGTTTATCTTTTCTCATGCTTTTGTTTCTTTGCGTTTTTCTTGTACAGCGTTTGCCTTAAAAATTGTTGTGGTTTTTGTAGGGCTCGGTTTTTTTCCTACCAAAAAAGCAAGCGTATGCGAAACACACGGGTAGAAAAAAAGGTAATTTATATATCATTCGGTAGCTATTTCATAAATTTTTGATAATTTAATACTACTATCTCTGGAATGAATCTTCACAATCATCATTCATAGGTAGTGAACGCGTTCCTTTTGAGCCTCTTCTAGAAGGCAAAGAATCTTCAAAAGCAACACAAGTTAGGTATGAGGATTATGTTAAGGCCATTCAATGTTTAGAAAAGAAGATTGAGGTATGTATATATAAATTATTTCATTGATACAAAAAGGAGAAAACCTCATGATAATGAAAGGCGAATGGTTTGGGCAGAATTTTTTATTAACAGTTAACGAATCGGCTATCTCCGACCTTTGTGATTTCGTAATAAATACTTATGACAAAGGTGAAATTAGTAAACTGTAAGTTTAGCTTTAAAGGATTGAGATAATAATGTTAGCAAATCATCAATTAATGGATTTTTTTTTTATACCCAATTTCTTGTAGTAATCCACCTAATCGTTTTTATGCACTCCCAACAGCTTTGATGTTTACAGGTAAATTTCTTTTTTTATTGGTTTGAAATAAATTCATTATATATTGCTGGTTGAAAAAGATTTGCATTATAATAGGCGCTGATAAAGAGGAAAATACAAAGTTCTTTCAACGTGTCTCTCAAAAATTGCAGCAAAGTCATCAGAATCATATTGTATTTCTTAATTCAATGGATTGTTCTGACTTGAAACGAACAGAAATGCAAGTTGTTAGGCAGTTTTTTGGTAGAGAAGCAATTGATAAGGACGATGACAATGACAATTGTCAAGATGATTGTCAAGATGACTATCAAGAAGATTATGTATAGTTATTTCACTTTCCGTTTAATTTAGTATTTAAGCGTAATAAATGATCACATTTGTTTCTGATTCAAATTAGGAGGCTTCTGATTATTCTATCGATCCGATCGAAGATATTGTGAGTGAAATTTCTAAGTCATATTATATTATACGTTTGGG